TTGATTTGCTAGAACATTTTTCTCCAGAATTGCTGTGGTTTTCAGCTCTGGGCCTTTGGAAAGTTTCTTGACCAAACTTTCTGGAATTGAAACATATTCGTGCTGATGTCTGCAGGGGAGTTTGGCATGCTTGCATATCGGATGCATATTTGGAATTATTTGTCTCAGGGACTCCAGAACTCACCTGCACTTCCAGAAGTCCAGAGTGTTTTTCCAAGGAAATAAGTTATTTTAAGTTTTCTATTCTTTTCTGATGTGTGGGTGACATTTGTAGAGGGACTGTTCCTCAGGGAGAATATGTAAACCAGCAAGGGGTCGGTGGAAGTTTCTTGTGTGGACTTTGTTCCAAGCCTTTGGCTTTCAGGTCTGTTTTCTCCCACTCTGCTTCACTGCTCCTTGGGAAACACTTCTGCCCTGGCTATCCCTGTAATAGGAGCTCTAGAGTTGGTCACACAGCTTGTAAATTGGCACATCTTATGCCTTTGGATATGCTGGAGAACATGCTGGGGACATTAGTTAAAGCATCCAGAATCTGGGTTTATGATTTACCACTGCCGTATGAGGAATGCTTATCCTGAATCTATTGCCCTGAAATCACCCCTGGCAGCAGCTGCAAGAAGTTTAAGAAACGGATGCAAGAAAGCAAAAATGCACACTATCTCCTCACACAAGAATTGCATCTGAAATGTCCCTCTCCTCCTGTTCTCAAGGATTTGCCAGATATACTCTTCTGACACACATTTTCTCAAATCTTCCTTTATAAACTCTTTCTCAGGTTGTCTTCTTCAGCGGGAATCCTTACCTGGGAGAACTTCTATAGCTCATTTCCTTTTTGGCGCTGCCGCCCCCCCCCCCCGAGACTCTGGACAAATTGAATCTCTCTTTTCCCTTCTCCTGTGCCTGCTCTGAAATGTTTCATTTCTTTACCCTCAAAAGTATACTTCTAATTTATTCATGAGATAGTCCCGATTGTGTTTCTAACACTGCTCCCTTCTTATGCACTAGCAGAGATTTTATATTGGATTTTGCTGCCATGGCAGCTTTGCCGCATCTTTTTTTTATTTAAGTTTTTTAAAAAAGCATTCTTTGGCAATAGAGAGGAATGCCGGAGTAGCTGAAACATCACAGTTTTCGCTTTGAACGTGTCACAGCAAGGTGAAAATTAACTCTGCCTTTCCAGATGGAAGCTGCTGCTAACGACACAGCGCGCTCTGCTGTTGTAAGCCCATGGAGACATTTCAAATATTAGTCCAGTTGAGCCTGTTTATTTGCTGCATAACACTGCATCTTTTTTTTGGGCTGTGCAGCATTCATTTTGATTTCCAAGTGTTTGGAGAAGCGTGCTCACACACTCCCCAACACTCTCCTCTTCATTCACCTGTAAGGGAGCAAGGCATGGACACCGGACGCAGTTTTGTCTGTGTAGTAGGATAGGTGCATGAAAGGTCAGTCCCTTCTCTTCATCTTTCCCTTCACCTTTCCTCCCCGCTCGTTTGCAGTGACATTTCATGTAACATTTATTAACACCTCAGCTCGGCTGGCCTGAACCATTTCAGTCTCAACCTCCTCAGTCACCTGGCACTTCTTTTTCCTTCTATGTTTTTGTGGAGCACTGCAGCTGCTGCATGGGTGGCAAATCACGTACTGCATTGGGTCTTCCCTCTGCATGAAATAGAGCCTTTCTCTTCATTTTTCCCCACTATTTTTGCAGTTGACTGTTTTACTACTTGATGTAACTTTTCTTTCATTTTTAATTTAACTTTGATTTGTAGCTCTCTAACGGCCTTCCTCATTTTATTTCTTCAGTTGGACCCATTTAATCAGTTCTGTTCTTCTTTCTGATACCATTTTTCTTGGGTATTTTTCTCTTTCTTCTCCCTTCTCAAAGTCATATTCACTCAAAGACTACTTCTTTTCACTGGAAAAATGCAGCTATTGAGGCGATTGACCATCAAAGGGAAAAAGGCTGGGAAGAGCAGACATTTTCCTGCTCAGATGTGTGTGGCCTTGGTTCTGTAAAAGACCACCAAAATTATGATGGACTTGAAACAGGGTACATTACCAGAAACAATACATTTGGGAATGAAATGTGTTGGGTGACATTCTTGGTACTTACGGCCATAGAAAGCTGGTTGCTCCATATGAGAAATAAGGGGAAAGACATGTACACATTTTTAAGAGTTAAATATTTATAGCAGTGATAAACATGTTTTGTAAATGATTAGAAATAATTAGTCCTCATGTGCTAGATGAGCAGATTTCTTACACCGTTTCACTGTATATTAAAAAAAGGGTTACTAAAATTGTTTGGATGAGCAAGACATTCAGCAAATTCCTCCCACTTGTCATTCTCAAAACCTTGGACAGGTGCAAATCACTTACAAAACACACTAAAAAATACTACTGAAGCTCCTGGGAGAAATCGGGATGGCATTTAATTATCATAGGCACTTGAGCTTCTCCTCCTACTGTGACAAGCACACTCCGTTGCTGAAAACCACAATGCTTCCTTCATGATTATTGAAGTTGCAGTTTCACATGACTATATTGGCAACACTCTGGACCACACTGGCTCCAATTCTTAAAAATACCTGCACTTTTCTCTCATGCATATAAGTACATGGTAGTTACCTAAACAATGCCATTCTAGACATCCTAAGGCATACTGAGGTATCCATATGGGGCTAGCAGCTATGGGTCTGGACCGCCAAGACACCCATCCCCTTTTCGAGCAGCACAAGCCCTAGGAGCATGTAAAATTACAGTAAACCCCTGTTTTCAGGCACCTTCATCTCTCCCATACTGTTCTGACTTGCATTGTTAGCAACACAGCTCAGCTTACTGTCTTAGTAAGAAAACATTAACTTCTATAACCAGCACATTACTGGCAAATTTAAATGTATGCCAGATGTTAAGTCTGTGATAAGGCTGTCTTACGTATCCTGGACACAACTTCCTAATCATATATGCGTACAATTAATACAAACACGATGCAGCATGCAGAAAAGGAAAGAAAAAAGCTTACATAAGGAGCAAGGTTTGTGATTCTCATATAGAAACAGGCTTTTTGTCTCCCTTTCAGTGTTAAAGTAACCTTTTGCTGTAGAAAAAGCAATTTACTTTTTCTTGGTCAGCTATTCCATTCTGCAATCTTAAGATTTTTAAATATAGAAAACTCCAAAAATCCAGAGGTTTCTTGATGCCATTCTATGTTTCTTTGGATTTAAGGTATCAACCTGAAATTGGATTGATGTAGAACATATGTGAAAGTATTCAACCTAGGCCAAACCTCTATAAGCTGATAGGCTTTAAACTACCCTTCAATAAATGAATCACTGGCTTCAGAATAAATATTAATGGCCATTGCTTGGCAAAATAGTTTAAGAAAATACACGTATTAAAGAAGATAACCCTTAATGATGACCCTTGCTAACGGAGACATGTTAAGGCTATGTTAAATGCGGAAGTGTGCACTGTGCAGGATAAAAATCCCCAGCAATAGCTGCCAATCATGTATCCATGAAAAACAATGACCTTTACCCTGTTAGGAACTTTACACTTGCCAAGTATTATTAGGGCAGCATTTCTTAAAATGCAAACTGTAAATCATCAGAAAGCAGTTCAATAAACAATAGGAAAATTCTCTCAGTACTAGGAATATGTATGCACAGTTTCATAATCCAAAAGGGAAAGTGGAACAAAATGGGAGAATACAAGTTAACAGATACTTACAGAATGAAGTCTGATTTTTATTTGGATGTAATCAAAACCATTGTGATAATTCTGTAGATGACACTCCTTGGATTTTTTTTTCCTCCCCAAAAGACTAGATGTCTGTTTCATTTTAAAAAGGCTGAGAAATACCACACTGAAGGACAAAAGAAGTCTTGAGAAGATTTATAAAAGAATCTCTCAGGAGAAATTTAATTTGCTAGCCTTTTTGGCTAGAAAGCTCTTTGGCTTACAGCTTTCAGAGAACAAAAAACCCCCAACAAACAGAAGGAAAACGGATGTTTTTGTTGCATCTATCACTGTACTTTGTAAACCTACAATGTAAGTGGAAAAAAACAATTGCAAATTGTGCCTCCTACTTTTTCCCCCCCCTCTATTATTAATGCTATGCTATTAAAATCCATTTGGGTAGTCCAAACAAGTCTTAATTGTTTAATAAAGAAATTAATTTGGCATTGTGTGAATACTTTACAGACTAATGATCAGCAGATAATCAACCAGCCACAAGCATGTTAAATATGCATACAAATTGTTGTAGGAATATTTAAAGTTGATTCCAACTCTCAGAAATTTGCTAGGTACAATTTTAAGTACTATTAAATCACTTCTGAGTAGTGAAATAGGTCTAAAAATAAAAGCAGCAAATGAACCCATCACATTCAATAGCTCTATCAGATTAACAGTTCACCTAGAATTTCATAATAAGGCAAGAAGTTGATGGACTATGTCCAACAGACTTCAACTTCTAGCAATGCCTCTATACGGGAATCCATGTGAAACCACACTGCTCACAGACAGGACACACTTATAAACTAGGCAGACAAGTCAAAGTTTGAAAAAGCTTCAAAACAGAACAGCTCACATTTTCACAAACTGTTCCTCTAAGGTGAGCACTGAGGGGAAATTCTTGCTGCCTACATTTCTCTTTTGCGTATGATGACTATGGTGTCTGGGATTTTGAGATTTAACACACAGCGTTGCTGAATAAAAAAGGCAAACATTGCTTATTAGTAAACTGCTAGCATTACCAAAACACAGGATATTAAAATGATTACTTGCTCATAAATGGATTACTTGGCCTTGGTTTTGTCTTCCTAAGCGCACAGTGTAATATTTAAAGTAAAAGCTAGCTCTCTACTTTTTAAAACTTTGTTTTTCCATTCTTCTTAGATTAGCAAGAGTCAGAAGTTACCTAAAATAGCCCATTAAAATGGGCAGGAAAACCGGAAACAAACTGCAAATTCACTCTTCACCACACAGCGCAAAAATCATGGTCACAGCTTCATATTTAATGTGGAATCACTTTAAGTATACAGTATTTCAAAAGATCCAGAAACTGGTTAAGAGTTAAAAGCCAGTAGAACAAAAATACAGGAAATCCAAAATACATCTTTGACCTTTTCAATCCTAAATTTTAGGGTCACATGCCTGAACAGACAAGTTTGCTTTATGAGGAAAGAAACTTTGGTATGGAGTTGAACTAGCCACATGAATAGCACCTGTAGCTTTCAAAATAAATAGTAGTGGCTAACTAGACACCATGGCAGCAAGATACCCCCTTAAAAAAAGACTAAGAAAAAGCACATGCTTAGAGCTATGCATCAAGGCTGGACAACAGAAACTAGTGTAATCTTTTTTTAAAGTAACTTTAAAGCATTTCTGCTTTCTGTATTGCTGATGCTGAAATTAGTAAGAAATCTTTCCTACAATGACAAAGCTTTCCTTTTATTTGCTAACCACTAATAATCACTCCCTTAAAAATTGCACTCTGATGCTTGAAGAACACTGTATTAATTTTTTTCTTTAAGTCTTTAGACTCCCTCTATTTTTCTAAAATATTGTATTTTTATTCCATAGGCCCACGCTGTTAGCAGTACGTGCTGCAAACAGAAACATCCCCCTACTCCAAAAGTTACTTATTAAAAAGGTCAAAGATAAATTCGACCTCAAAATGGAACAAAAGTTTTTTTTCATAAATGGTACCAGAAACAACAAATGATCTTTGTAATGTGTGATATTCTCCTACAGCCATCGATAAAGTAGTTACCGGAATGTTAGTCTATGTTAATCTGTGTTTTATGGGTTTGCAACAAAGCATAATACACATCGAACAGAATGAGTGAAACTTCAGTTTCCAGTGTATAATGAATTTTAGTCATTTAATAAATTTTAGTTTTTATTTGTGTATTCCACTGTAGTGCTGTGACAACAAATCACACCTGTGTACCAGAGCATACATCAACAGTATGATGTAACTTTACTTACACCACTGCTATATTTAGCTTTTTGAAAGAGACATAAGCATACACTATGGCCACATCAAATAATTTTCTGGGTTTTTTCTTTGATAACCTTCACTTTTTCAGTAATACTTCACTTTTAAAATTTGAATTATTGAAAAAATCACAGAAAGTTTATACAGGAATAGCTATAAGGAATAACCTCACAGGCACTGATATGACAAACATTTATTTAGGGGCTGAGAGGCATTAATATCATATCGACAAAGTTGACTGAAAAGAGTGACTAACTTTGTCTAAATGGGAAATGCCCGCTTTTGCTTCTATGTTGAGAAAAGAAATTCAGAAAGTTATTTTTTGGCCTTGCTATGTCACAAAGTCAATCATACAAAGACCTACGCGTTTAACCTAAAATGATAGTTTTAAAAGCCCTTCTATTATAAACATCATGCAAAACTTTGATCAATTATGCAGCTGCTTTAAAACTGTTGCAAGACCATACTGTATATATTAGCTTTTATACTGCTAATGCACAACTAACAGCAAACTTGATTAGATTTAACACAAATTTGTCTTAATTACACCGTTATATCACACTAAGGAGACAAATGCCACAAGATTGGCAAAACCATTTAATTCGGAGCACTCAAATGGCAGGATAATTATGTGTTGTAACCCCTTCACATTTAGAAAAAAACATAATCCTGCAGTCTCACTTTACAAAAAAAAGTTTTGTAAAATATTAATTGGGAGGGGAACAGTTTACGCTATCTAACACAAAGTAACTTATACAACTAGTGTCAAAGGTAAACAAAAAAACTTCTAAATAAAAAGTCAAAATACACATAGCAACAGAAGCACAAATGCTGCATTAAATACAGTCAAGATAAGAAGACAACGCACTTGTTAATAAAAAAGACAAAAAAAAAAGAAGAAAAGTTACTAAAGTTAACAACACATTTAAAGAAAATGCAATGAGGGAAAACTATTTTTTCCTATTACAACAGAGTTTCCATTTGCAGTCTTTCCATCCATAATTTGTCTGGTACAGTACATCCACTAAAATATTCAGAATCTCACAGAAGAGCTAGGTTGTTCTCTTCCAAATCTAATTCCCGAGTTGGTTTTGGATGTTTTAAACAGACATCATTATGAATGAAGTAAAAGCAAGGCAACAAATGGACTTTTTATCACCTTTGATCTTAGCACTGATGACAAACACTTTTAAAAGTTATCATAATCTTTTTTGTCTTTTTTTCCCTCTGCTTCAAATCCATCAACCCCATCACTGTCCCTTCTCCTTTTGCGGTTATTATGGATGTTGAAGCGTTGATTCATCTGTGGTAACGGATCCATTCCTAAAACTTTGTGTATTTGACGGAATGCAAGGAGTCTCAGTGCAAACTAGAAAAAGGGTAGAAAGAAGGTATTTGTTAGACACAAATGTCAATTTTGAGTACTTTGTCAAACAATTAATGAAGAACATTAGTGGTGTATAATATTATCCTTAGCTCTCATTATCCCCTCTTCCTTTGCCCAGCAAAGTCAACACAATAAAATGTGTATGTCACATTTGCTGCTTCTGTACAAAGTACATCATCTTAGCTTAAAAATAATGTACATGTGTTTTAGCTGCTGGACTTGCACTGAAGCAGCCAAGGCTTGTCACATGTCCCATTACGCATTAGTAATCTTTAGCAAATGGATCAAATGAAAAGGTAGGGGCGGTAACCTCTTAAGCTGTAAGCGTGAATGGTCAATACTGTAAGTGGATATAATAAATACTAAAAATTAAACTTACACAGATTTATTCCTAAAATACTAAATGCCAATGTAATTTTAAATCTAATATACTGCTGTAGAGCGAGCATCTTTATGGATATATATAGATGGGAGTGCTTCAAACTTTTCAAGAAAATATTTTAATTTTAGTGCAAAAATGTACACTATTATACATCCTCTGTTGTGACACTTTTATCGACTAGCTTAAGACTAATCATCTGAAAGACCGACCCATATTCTAAGAAAGGAAAATTCATGTCCACCATATAGCTCCATTTAAAAAAAAAACCAAACCAAAAACCAAACCAAACCAAACAACACCCAAAAACCAGCCATCAAATTTAGTTACTTCACACATACGTTTCCTTACCTGTGCACTTGAAGTAATATCCTCTCGTTGCTGATCTGTCATTACAGCAAGTGTATCAAAAGGATCTTTTTCACAAGGGTCCAGAAGGCCAGGACCACCTACAACGGTTAGGCTAATTAGTAGCACATCTCTACCTTATTTCAATCAAGATTACAGATTTTACATTAGTTAAGCATAGTATACAGACAATGATCAATGCAACTTGCCTTTAAGGATGATTCCTGAAGATATACACTCAAAAACTCTTCTCAGTGCATCCCCAGGACTCTGTGGTCCAGTAGCGCTGCTAATTGCTTTTTCCACAAGCAACTCCATAGCCTAGACCAACAATAAGAAAATCCAGCCAATTTAGAAGACGGATTAAAACAGAAAAAAGCTGCTACTGTTGTTCAACACAGAACTTTTGATCCAAAATTTTGAAGAACATTACACATCATAGAACACTTTCAGTTACAATGGAAAAAAAATCAGATATTTTATAAAGATGAATAAGAAGAAAGCTGGTGCAAGATTAACATTGAGTACTGATACTGATATGCTTCTTCTCATCACAAGTTGTTCAAAAGTTTTGTAGAAATTTATACAGTAGTAGCCTACATATGCAGGTAGACAACTTGTCCACCCATTTTTTGAGAGAGTATGAAACACAGTGGGTCACCTGAATCTGTCAGCTACATGAATAAACAGCACACAATATATTTAATGAAATTAACAGGATGCTATAGAAAAATAATTTTTTTCTACAAGCGTAGAGAAACTTAAAGCATCAAAAATTTAATGATCTTTTAACATTTAAGTGGTTACTAGTTCTTCAGTTTAGCAAAACTGAAGTTCACAGCAAGTTTTCTCCTGGATATAGGCTAACTCTAATTCAGCTGTTAAACAAGTGTAAAAAAACCTTGATGATAAACAGGTTTTCTAAAACCTAGTTAAACATTAGTTAAAATGGTTTAAATGATTACCTGTATTTTAAGTATTTTTTTCTGTGAATATTTCCATTGTTTACTTTTATTAAAAGCTATTTTTTCCAGAAAAACCTATAGAAGGTATTTGCAAAAGTAAAGAATAGCTTTCCTTATTTTTTTTTCAGCATTAAATGGATGTTTCAATACTACCTCTTTGGCAAGTTTAATTCTCAAACAACGCGTCTCTCTTGTTTTCTGGTGGGTTTTTTGGGGGGGTTGTTTTTTGGTCCTCCACCTCCCCACCAAGTTTACAGTTGTTCCAATGTTGCTTTTTATTTTTACTTTCCAGGAGTAAATGCTTATTCTGATGCATGCAAGTAACTACAGGCAGTGTTGATTACAATTCTTCACTAAGGGTGCCTATTCCTTTCTATTTTAGCTCCATTTAACTGACAAATTTCAATTCTTGAGAATGGTATTGCCATACACCCACTGTATCACACAGGATTTAGCAACAGTAATTTCGTTGTTTTCAAGTATGAAGCAAAATACAGCAGGAAAGAAAAAAAACAGATCATGTTTTTGCATTTATTCAAGTCTAGTTCTTTTGGATCCTCATACAATACACTAAAGTCTACAACTTAATCCCCGGAAAATGTGAATTATGATGCCCTGTTGTTTATGTGCACGAAAGGCTGGATTTCAGATATGAAAAATTAACCTTGAATAACAGTTCCTTCTAACTTGTAGGAAGTTGACAAAATTCTTCTAATTTAGTTTTTAGTTTTAGTTATATAAAGAGGGTGCTACTAATGTCCATATTTAGACTTCCTAATATCTTCTATTTTTACAACTACTTAGATTCTTTTTGAAAAGCTCTGGCATCTCTTTGGTTTGTAATGGGCTTCTAGTATACAGATTAGGAGACGTTCTGTATCCAGAAAAATGTATTTCTTCAATCTATGAAATTCCATCTGTGACTGGCAGAAATTACATATATTTAAAATCATCATTTTCATTCTATCATTGTTTTTATCAGTAAGACTTTGCCAACAGGCCAAAAGAACAGCTGACTACACAGACTTCAGTGTTGATCCATGTCACTGACAATGCATCAGGTAGCAGGAGCAAATCAGGAATCACTTTTGGAGAGAACCGAGACACAGCTAGGCCTGACACACTGCTTCATACCTCTCTTCCCTTCCGGATGTGCCTTCGGACAGATAATGTGAGAAATAAGAAACAACATTCCTTGTTCTTCATCTATGTGCCCGCTGTGTGTTGCAATAGTTCTAAGGATGCTTTTCTGAAAGTATGCCAGGGTTTATTCTTTGGCAACTCAGTATCATAGTGATATTAAGAGGGCACCTACATACTTCTTAGCTTCTTTTAGGCTATATTTGTGCAGTGTATTTTTCATGAAATGTAGCACAGAAACTGGCACTACTTTTTTTACTTTAAATATTTAAAAACCAGAAATAACCGCTCCACATTTTTTCCAGAAGCAATAAATATTATCAGAAGTAATTTAATAAAATTGTCTGCAAGCTTAGTACAGTTGTAAAACATTTCTCATTGAAATAATGCCAACTGCTCAAACTGTGTTGACAATGTTAGTGCTCTTCCTGCCAAAACTGAAAAGGAAGCAGCACAGTGCAACAGGAACAGTTTTGTCTGTGAAACAAAACAGTCAGAGCTAAGTTTACTTCCACACGATACAGGTTTCAGAGATTTTGTTTCAGACTAATTTTGTCCGGTCCACAGATTGAACATCTGTTAATATTTGGAGCACAAGCTGCACTCCTGGAGAGTATCATTTAAGATAGTCAATGCAAAAGGAATGCTCCAAGAACACTCAGCTGCAAGAATTAAGAGAGGTAACCCAGTACAACCTAGAGATTTAAGTGACACTGATGAAAATGCTAATGGTGACATATCCACAGACTGATATGTGGTATTTCATCTTGCGGAAGGGACTTATTAATGATCACAGGAAGTACTGTGATTTATTCTTTCAAGCAGCCTTTCTGTTATCACAGAACTATCTGGGCACAGCTGACATTATTTTAAATAAGTTTCAGTAAACTCCAAGCAATTCAGAGTAGGTGGTTAGAAAAAATAAGATTCTTTTATAGAGAGTAAAGGAAAAAAAAATGCTAAAATCTAGAACAAGAATGCTACCCACAAAGAATACAAAAGAACAAGAAAATTCTTTTTTGGGGAAAAAAAAATTCCAGCTCCAAATGACAAAACCTCAGAAAATTAAATTTTTAGAGGGAATCTGGATTATTTGTTGGGGAAAAAACCCCCAAAACCCAAACAAAACCCTACATTGCTCCTTGAAAAAGTCTACATTTAAAACCTGTAGTAACACTTCCCTATGCTTTACTTGCAGTACCATGTGTATTAAAAAGTCTAATTCAAAAGAACTTTACTCACCCAGCTTGGAAAATCAGACCAAGTTGGAACCCGCTGACAGAGGTCACGAAGAATACGTATGATAATCACACAGGACTGCAGACCATTAGCTCTAGCCTTGAGAGCAATACAAAATCAAATTAATTAATCCCAGCACCTACAGCAAATAGGAGTTGTTGAAAGACTAAAACACCACTGTTCAATGGAAGCTCAGATACACGATTGAAACAAACCATTCTACAACTTTATTCCATGAGCTGCCATTTACAGCAGTATTTTATACAGGGTTAGTAATTTAAGGTGGTAGAAGTCAAAGTGCACAGGTTATACAAGAATAACATTTCTTGATCCCCTGTACACTTTGACCTATGTTCAGTTGTAACAATAAATACAGTATCTTTCTATATTAGAAATAAAAAGGATAAAGTAAAGATCTAAGAAATAGGTATAGAGACTGAAAGGTCAAGGGAATCTGTTTGGTTTCTTTATTGTGCCTTTGCCAGAATGCAAAGTCACTAAACCAAACAGTTGCTTCTCACCTTTCATTCCCTACACTTAATGCACTTAAAGAAATAGGAAAAAAAGTCTTAAATCTAAACACAAAGCTTTAAACACATATTCCATTATTTAAAGCAAAGTTACTCTGCAGCCTTATGGAATATATAACAAATATACAACATATGATCACCCCAAGCGAGTCAAGCTTTCAACATCGCCTTCTCAATGACCAGAAAAAAAAAATCATGTCAAATGAGCAATAACTGCATAAAGCAGTTCCTCCATACTCAACCTTCTACATTTAAATTTAGGGACCAGAAAAATATTAAGTATTATTAGCATGAACAACGCTGAGTGTTTTCACACAATTAAACATTTATATTGCAACTGACTAATCTCTCATAAGGCTACAAGAAGAAAGTAAAATGATGTTCCGAACCTGGAACCACTTAGCGTGGCGTAGAGCAGCCAGAGCGTCAAGGCATTTTTGCCTGTCCAAGACGTCCGGTGGGTCTTTCACCATACCCGAGGTTACATCTAAAATGGATTGAATTGGCAAAATGCAGTGAGGAATGGGTGTTTGACCAGGTGAGCAAGACACTTCCTTAAAGTAGCTTCAATGTCACACATGCCATTTAAAGTTTAAACCCTTGAACAACAAATGTAAATGTTCAACAAAAGCCATTCAATTAGGATTAGGGTATCAACCCAGTATGAAGATCAAGAGCATATTATACTTTAGCTCTGAGGTTATTTTCAAATACATTGCCGATTATGCAATGCGTAGTACTTCTTTATTTAAGCTAACACTGGAAAAACACATATCCCCTAAAATTAAATACTGAAGGAAGGATGGTTGGACACAGTGCACCAGCACAGAGAACACAAGACAGAAGGAACACAAAAATCCACTTCAACCAAGTAGAAACATTCAAACTTAGTTTCTTGCAAATTTTAATGGTCACATGTTATTTGGGACCTATTCTTAAAAGAAAAACGAAGTATAACAAATCTTAAAATCACTAGATTTTTAGTAATGATGTTATTTTTATCATACCTTAAACCTGAAATTATTTTGCTTCAAAAACGGGACTAAAGAAATGTGAAATGTTCTTGAATATTACAGAGTTCCATTACTTTCTAGTACCCTCTCTCTTACTCATATAAATAAAATTCCTCAGCCCATAGTATAGGTGCTCCAATATAATTTAGAATGCAAGGAAGGATCTGAAAAGGGACTGCTTTACTTAAGATTCAGCAGGAAAAAGAAAAGCAAGGAATAGCTTAAAAAACAAAGCAGAACGTCTGAAAGATAAAGAAAATATAGTAGAACTTGTATATTTAAATGTTCAAAAAAGGATTTTTTGAACATTACCAAGCTGATTGCTTTGTTACCAAAAAGGAAGAAAGCACAGGCCCTTTTGGAAGTGGTTTAATCAATGAAACTGGAACCACTGAACAATGTGAAATGGTATCCTCCGTTTACTTAAAAATTGTACAGATATAATGCAGTGATCAGCTTTAAAAGTTCTTTGTTTTACTAATTATGAAAATGGCTATTGTGACTAGTAACAAAGTATATTGATAGCATAACTGGTGATACACCAGATAAGATGAAACAAAAAGCCCTCACTCAATGGTACGCATTTCACAGGAGCTGACTGTATGGAACAATATAGTTTACTGCAGCAAGATATAAATTTAGGTAAGTCAGAGAATAAAATTAAAAAAAAAAAAAAAAAAATTGAAACTCATTAAACATGCCTGCAAGGAGAAGCTTTTAGGGATGCTGCAGGAAGACAGCTCTGAAACCACCTATTTCACACAAATGTAAAAGAAATAGTAGGATACTTTACTATACAGAGAGCTAAAAAGCCATGAATGAACATGGTGGTACAACTCTGCAATATAATAATTAAATTTAATCTGAAGCTCTACATTCAGGTTTGAGCATTTTTATAGGATAGTCCCATTGCTCTGCACAGCAATAAAAGGGGGAGGATTTCAAAATAAGAATGAAGCTGAGAAGAACATAGGTATCTTCTCACACAGATATTCAAACTTATGGACTATATGTTAAAGTGGAAAGAGGAAAACCTGCACTAATGAGGCATTTACAGAGCAAATGAAGACATTTAAAGCGGTATTTCCTTTAAAACAAAACAAAACAAAACCAAAAAAAAACCCAAACCCAAACCTGTACAAGAGAGGTGCCAGGTAAGATAACTGATGAAACGAGTACAATCTGGATATAAGAGACAAGGAGTACATCTAGAGAAAACCCACAGCAGGAAAAAAGTGGCGAAGTAAGGTTGAGAAATTAAAAATAAAAATATGGGTTGTTGGGTCTAGTAGCCTGATCAGTCAATTATTTACATTCTTCTAAAACTAATATGCAAATAGGTGACACTGTGCAAACTTTCAGTACAATAATTCATTACAAAATTTGAAACTCCAATTAATTCTATATCTGAAAAACTTCAATTTGGAAAACAATTTTACTAAAAAGAATTACAGTTTAAGTGCACAGAAGAGAATCTTACTCAGTGCTGGAAATGTCGATCTAAAATGTGCCACTAATAGATATCATATGAATACCCTTGAAACTTAAAAAGACTCTGAAAGTCAGAAGTTGCCAAGGCACCTATTGCACTGAGACTACATTGGCTGAAAAAATGTATCAAGGAAACTCTTGTAATATTTAATCTGTGGATTTTTGCATCTGTTTCACACTTCAGGATTAACCCCTTAAAGACTATTTAACTAAATTCAGATGCCTAACCTACCACCCTGTTAAGCTAAGACAAAAAACTGAATTAATTTACAAAACACAAGCACGAATTCTTACCCTACATAACTTAATTTATTACTAGCCTAAATATAAGGGGTTAATCTTCAGTTAGACATGCTGTGTCCACACTACTTCTTCATTAAAAGTTAACAGGTATATCAATTTCGGTAAGTTTTATTATGGGAAATACATTTTACCCAGTCAACTATTTCAAGACTAGTGTGAACACTGCTTAATTCTAGGAGAGAGACAAAGACAAGAAGAAAAAAAAAAAAACACGAAGTAACAGTAGATGCTAGGACTATGCATCCAAACCCCCTCCTTTGTAAAGCATGGCAGGTGTGACACTGAGCTTTAGAAAACCTTGGTCAAAAATCCTTCCGATGTCTTGGCAGCAACCCCTGACAGGAATCAAGTCCCTCTGCTAGAAGGCTTTGGACCGGGGCTGTTAGCTAAGGATAAAAAAGACACACGCGCACACATATATGCGTTTATAAGTATGTACACTTTGTTTGCTGAAGGAAAGATTCCACAGCAGGGGTTAGAGCACTTCGAATATTATCAGATTCGGTAAACTGTCAAACGCACAATACTGTAAGAAACAGTAGCTATGCGGTTAACAATTTTATTTCACTGTATTTTTTTTTTAGCCTTTTATCATGTAATGGGATTATTACACATCAAACACGATTCTACTCCACGTGCAAGTCTCAGTCTCATCTTTACTCAAACTGGTTCTTCCGGTAAAGCCTTCCTTATCACCTGAACTAGCTCCCCAAGCGGGCTAAAAAAAATGAAAACTTTAAACCGCTGTAAGACACAGAGCATGAGAAGCTGCAGTAAGAAAGAACACAAACACATACTGTTACTCTGCAGCAAATAAGCAGCAGTCTTCGTAATAAGGCCTTCTTTGCTGCAATAATTTGCAATTCAGTCTTCTCTTTGCTCTAGTTTCAAAAGTGAACTTTTCTGCACATCCATTTTATACTGCTCAGTGTCTTGAAGAGAAATCTAACTTGATTTTGCTTGCCTAAAGGCAGTACTGCATTCAGCAGTGAATAAACTCACAATGATCATTTTAACTCAAGTGTGGGTCAGACAAAAATACAGATTTGTTTCCTTTAGGTGGCATAAATTAAGGGATTGATGGCAGTAATTTGAATTTCAATTTATTTTTAGTCCACATCATAAAATTTCAGGCCAGAAACCACCTAATTGAAATTGAGTATTGTGGCAGGAATCAATATTGCACTGTTGCACAGTACATTAAGAAATAAACATGGTGTTTAAGGTTAAATTCATTTAATGGTTAATCTAATTTAATAATCAAATCTTTTAAGTTAAAGTATTCTTTATAAACTTAAATAATATGTGAAGTCTGATTCGGCATAGACAAACCAAGAGTCATGTTACACTTAGATTGTCAAAAAACAAGTAAAATTGGTTGGGTGTGACAGTACATGTACAAAGCCTTTATAGCTAGGAATAATATGCACAGCTTAAAAATCATGTACAAAGCACTCTTAAAGACTCTTCAGAAGTCATCCAAACCAGAGAATGCATCTTGAAATTTTTCTTTCCGATTATGGAAGACAACTTTGTTAACACAGCTTGTTTACAATGCACTAGTCACAGCTACAGGACATTTACCAATGCAATATAAAAACCTCAAGTATTTTAGAGGACATGTAATGATGAGATGAAGTAAAAAAAACCTCTGTGGCTTATATAAATACGTATATACACAAGCACATGTATACATACACACATACAATTTTTTTCAACCTGCATGAGAAGTGTTAAGATAGCCTCAGATTCCCTATTTGTAGGTTCACTGTCAAACACCAGAACCCTGTTTGCTATGGTGTCTTTCAACTATGAAAATACAGGATTAAAGGAAACAAAAGTTAATTTTATCTGACCCGTAAACAAAAAGAACCAATGTACTGCAGACATTAATCATGCTTGTTGGCTTAAAAGCTTTTGGAGCTTTGAAAGTGTTACAGAACAGACCCTAAAGCAACACTGCTGGCACCAGAGAAACTGTGGACTTCAGAAATGTAAATTGATTTACAAGCTCCACCTTCTGCTTCAGCTTAACGACAAAGCCATTTCTTATTGTACTAGTCTGGGTTTGCCAGTTGGATAGAAGACTGATTGTAATACCAGGAGCCTAAATATACTCAGAAAGCACTCCAGACCAAAAAGCAACCTCAGAGAGCTGGAAAAAATCGCATTGTCTTTTAAAGTTAGAAGCACTGTTACCATCAAAAGTATTATAAAAGTGCATTTTAAGTGGCACTGCTATTTGGAATGTGTAAGTGATGGTAGTACTGATCCAGTTTAAACCCAAAAACCTGTGATTTGATTTTCTAAAACCATACAATCTTTCTCTTAGGGCAAGACTGCTCTAGAAAGCCAGTTTATAGCCACTTGCTATAAAACACTTAGTTTTCCACGTAATTTTAAAAGAGGGGAAAAAAATAGTCAAGTTTGTACCTTTTCCAGAAAGCTGAGGTTGGACTTAAAGTTAGAAATTTTAAAAATTAAATAAACGCATCATATAAGCATTTATTTTAACCAACTGTTCTCTACTGAGACTGGTTGTTGGAAAACAAGGTTTCGATCAAATATATGTGCCAGCATGTTGCCTTCCAGGACCTTAATGCCATCTTAAACAGAACAGATAAACGGGTGAGAAAGCAGAATAAAAAAATACTGAGACTGGTTGTTGGAAAACAAGGTTTCGATCAAATATATGTGCCAGCATGTTGCCTTCCAGGACCTTAATGCCATCTTAAGCAGAACAGATAAACATAAAAAAACGGGTGAGAAAGAAGTAACATCTTTAACAACTTCCCAACCTCCATCCCTCATGTTCTCCTCCCGAATGACTGGAGATGTCAGTGTGATAGTGACTTGCATTTTGGGTTCCACACACGAATTTAAAATTATTGCTGCCTCTGGGACTGCACACTTGATATCGTATTTCTCAGGACTTATTACCTAAATATCAAGAAACAGAAATTTCCATTAGCATGTGGCCAATAAAAGTATGGGGAAGAAAACGGATTTCAATATAGTCTTTTTAACAGAAAGACAGAAACACAGTATAATTATATGAAGCAGAGACCTCCGTATTCAGAGAAACCACAGTATCCACAATTAAGATATATATATATGGACTTGCGTACTGTTTCCAAACCATTAATGAAAATACACAGCAGTCACCAAGCATGCAAAAGGAAAAAAAATGCCCAGAAGTGAAATTCATATACAAGTAAGTTACATAACAAGAATCTTGACAGTGTTTGAGATAAAGAAAAGCCTCAGTGCCACTTAAAATATCAGCTGGATATGTTTCTCATTGGAACACAGGAGACTGCATCACAAAGGTGCAGCGGTTGTTCTTCAAGCACACAGTTACAGGATGGGTACACTGCTAGGTACCTTCTATACTTGGCTGTCACAACATGGTAAGAACAAAGGGCAAGATAAACACCAGGGAAAAAATATAAGAGTAACTAGCAAAGTGGTTATTCCAAATTGCTTCTTGCAACTACATTTAATAGTTCTAAATACCCCCAAAAAGAAGCTGTAGGCACCTCTACCACCTTCCTCCACAAACTAGAGGGACAAGTGACTTCTCCACAAAGCCAGACCAAGATGTGCAGTTTTTAAATTTTCTTCTGTTCTGTTACTTCAAACAAGAGCAAACTCAAGATTATTTTCTAATTAATCTGATCCTGCTAAAGCTTCTACCATGCCACTGATTCCGCTGAACATTTTACCAGACAGTACTGAAATACTAATGCTGTGACAAGCATTCTATAACGATGGTGGACAGGCTTTGTTCAGCACAGAGCACAGACTTTATTCTATACTTTCATATCTTGTGGAAATACAGCAAATGGTTTATATGAATTCCACTGAATGGTCTAAGACTGCATGTACTTGTTTTTTTCTTTTTAAAAGGCCAAATTGAAAAAAAAGACAGAAGACTTAGTTAACTAATTGCGGAACTACAAAGCACTGACACATACAAATTGGAAACAAGATATAAGTACAAACAGATTGGCATTAATGGAGAACTTTGACCTTCAGACAGCAAGCTTCCTGTAACACAGCACAAATTACCTCTATCACTGCTCATAACTGGATAATAGTCTTCTGTTCATTTCTGTTTCCCAATTAAATGAAATCTATTAAATGATAATTGATACTACACCGCTAGTGTAAACACCTAGACACTTGCATGCACACAATATACAGAAAGAAAAACATGCAGCATAGTTCCTGAATTCACATGGAAACACTTAGAAAACGGAAAGAAACTGAACCTGAGCTATGAAATGTGGCACAGCGAGCCATGCAGACATTTGACTTGAGGACAGATTTTTACAGTATCTTTACAAAAATTCAAATCCAAAAATCTAAATTCTACTTACTGCAAGTTGTTTGGGAAGACTTTCAGCAATACGAGTGAGTAACGTCTTTGAAGGCTTCTCAGCGCATAACAAAACAAGATTGACATTTCGGTCTCCACGGAGTAGCAAACCTTTAGCCAAAACGCCTACCCGTAAAACTCCTTTCAAAGCTCTGTGAATTATAGTTAAAAGTTCCATTTAAAATAATATAAAAACCTTAAAACTAAACCTGAAGATAGAAAAGTGAAATAAAATAGTATTCCACATACTTTTGACTTTCAACTTTCAGCAATACGAGTGAGTAACGTCTTTTCTCAGCGCATAACAAAACAAGATTGACATTTCGGTCTCCACGGAGTAGCAAACCTTTACCAAAACGCCCTCTGTGAATTATAGTTAAAAGTTCCATTTAAAATAATATAAAAACCTTAAAACTAAACCTGAAGATAGAAAAGTGAAATAAAATAGTATTCCACATACTTTTGAGGCCATAGTGACATAAACCATATCAAAACCCAAAGAGAAGAGAATCCCTGGAAGCACTGATAACAGTGTAAGGAAAAATTTCAGAAACAAATGATGAAATTCTTAAAAAGTAATATAAAAAAATACCTGTCTTTACTGCCATCTTTTTTGTCATCTCCCTCTTTGTTCTTGCTTTTTTCATGATCAGTCATGTTGTCAGAAACAAGTTTCAAAGCACGCTCAGTAATAGAAACAATTTTTTGGACTGCTTGGAGTTCCTCCTCTGTCGGATATATAGCGGCATGTTTGGTCATCACATAGCGGTCATCAGAGGAGTCAGGGCGGCGTAGAGGCTAAACAGACGAAAAAGCGTATCTCTGAAATTTGGGTACACTTCCAAGTTCACAAATGGTAAGTGACCAAAAACCAAACACGTGGCTAAACAACAGAATATTCAAATCTCAAAATCACTGGAATGTAACAAAACATGAACTGAAGTGTCCTTAACAACTTACACTGGTCACAATCAGTCATGCCTGAAAAAACATTACATTTATCAAAATTAAAAAATTATGAAATCCCAGCATCAAAAGTATCTCCCCAACATAAATATCTATTGTTACTTGCATACTGCTGCAAAACAAAGTGTCCATGACTACTTTCATAGAACCACAGAAGAATTCAAATAGGAAGGGACCTCAGGAGATCCTCTAGTCCAACCTCCTATGCAAACCATGGGCAGCTGTAAGACCACATCACATTGCTCAGGGCTTTATCCAGTCAGTCTTGAAAACTGCCAAACATGGAGGCTGCACATGTGTATGAAAAAAATTATTCCCTGTATTCAATCTGAACCTCTTTTGTCTCAGCTTAAGCTGGTTGTATCTTGCCCTCTCATGACTGTAAAGAGCCTGGCTCCATTGTCTTTAGAATGCACAGGTATTAGAAAGCTATTATGTCCCACTGAAGCGCTCTCTTCTCCAGGCTGAACAAGCCCAGATCCTTCAGTCTCTCCTCACAAGGCATGTGTTCCAGAGCCCTGACCATCCTGGTAGCTCCACACTGAACCTGCTGTGGTTTACAGTATCTTTCTTGTACTGTAAAGCCCAAAACTGAATGTAGTATTGCAGTTTGGGTCTAATGAAAGCTGATCACTTCCCTTCATCTACTGATTATGGTCCTGTTAATACAACCCAGGATGCTGTTGGCCTTCACTGCTGCCAGGGCACACTGTTGACTCATGTTCAGCTTGCTATCTGCCAAGATCCCCAGATCCCTTTCAGCACAGCTGCTACCCAGCCTGTCACTTCCCAGCCTGTATCAGTGCAAGGGGTTATTCCTTCCCAAGTGCAGCATTAGGCATTTGTCCTTGCAGAATTCCATAAAGTTCCTGTTGGTCCATTCCTCCAGTCTGCCTAGGTCCCCCTGGATGGCAGCCCTCCCCTCAAAGGTATCAACTATTCTCCCCGCCCCAGACTGATTCAGTTTCATGCCAGCTGCAAAACTGATGAGTGTGCACTCACTCCATCACCTTTCAGATCACTGACAAGGTGCTAACGAGACAAATCCCAGGATAAACCCATGTGGTACTGCACTTGTTACTGAACTCCAGATAGAGCACGACCCACCACTAACCATTATTCTCTGGGACTGACAATCCAACCACTTTTTATCCATATATTTGTCCACAATTAGATAAATAATGTTGTAAAATGCAATTAAATAAAATAAAAAGTAGTACGTAAGTATACTTGTATTTCAGAAGAAACAGTATTTGTCCTCAAGGCATCCTTTTGTCATTTCAGTGGACTTTTTTGGAAGACAGGTCCACCTACACAGTCTCATTAGCATATAATTTCTTCTTTGCTTTTCCAAATCCTTTATTAAAAAACACTGGAGACAACTGAAGTAGCACTGAATAATTTATAGTTCTTAACTGTGCCTCCTGGTAAGTATGATTTCATTTTTTTTCTCAAGTTAAGAAACTCACAGCTGGTCCTTGGGGCTGAGGAGGCATTCCTGGTCTAACTCCCAGTAGGCCTAGAGGTCCTGGAGGACCATGAGGATATCCTCCATCTGGTATTCTGCGGCGGTCATCCCAGTGATGCTGCTCTTCCTCCATTCTCCTCCAGTACATGTCCTCTTCATATCGCCTGAAGTGCATCAATCAAAGTGTTCTCTTTATATAGCAGTTAATACTTGCAACCATTCTAAATATATTCTTGTATGTCCTCACTAACTCATTTCTAGTAGTCATAAGCAAATACCAGTGAACTCCAGAGGGTAACTAAAATGAATGGTCATTTTGGAAGTGGGTCTAAATTTATAGCAAAATAATTCTAATAAGTCTGCATTCCTCAGAGGGATCGAACACTAACAAACAAAAACCCCAGAGGGATAATGACAACTTAATTTAAAACAAGACAGTACAGAGTTCCAAAACAAGTATTCAAAATAAGTAACTACAGAAGCAGAGTTAGTTTTAGATAATCTGACTGCAGCTTTGTCTCGTTCATTGATACAACATAATGCATTACCTCATTTCCATCCTCCAGCGTTCTTCCTCTTCTCGCCTTCTCCAGTATTCTTCTTTCTGCATCTGTTTCCTCATCTTCTCTTCTTGAATTTTTCTTGCTCGAATACTGGGCTTTACTTCTACTTGTAAGTCTGGGTTTACTTTTTTCTAGTTCAGAAAAATAATAAATGAAATGTTGTTATTCCTCTTGTCATCTCAAGGTTACAGAGTTCTTCTGACATGTTTAACACACACTACTGGTCTATGATAAAATCAAGGGGAGTAAAATGCAGTTTTAGAACTGCATTGGATGAGTAGTTGAAGAAGAAAAATCTGTGTCCAGTATTTTAAAGCAAAGACATAGCAACATATTACAAATAGCATGAATTCACTCTTCACTTATATGAGAACAAAGCAATTTTAAGATTAAAATGTTACATGAAATACAAAGTAATTTGCTGTTAATTCTGTAGCAGGATGACTACTCTATAGCCTGAAAAAACATTTCATCTTAATTACAGTGTGCTTCCTGATGCCCTGTTCCTGAAGGGTCCCTCACACAGGGGCATAATCATGAGTTACTGAATAAAATTTTCTGGTAATTTTTTCTCTTCTTTCATCCCTTTCGTGATTATGCAAGTCCATTGTACGTCCTGTGACCACAGTAGATTCTTCCAATATAATCTTATAATAATCAAAATGCACACAATATGTCAGTACACGTGTCTCTCCATTCATGACTAAAAAATCTGCAACACTTGTTTCTCAAATGCCTCCACAAAGGGTTTATGTGGTTTATCCCACCAAAAACATTGAGTGTTACTATTTTACACTATTCAAAATTCATGGTAAACAACATAAAGAATCTACTGTTGCTTGCATATGTGGTACCGTATGTTAATGTTGCAAAGGTTGCCTGAAAGCAATGTTCAATATGTTTAAAAAAAACACAAATGAAAATACAGTTTCATAGTCTGCATTACTTCTTTAAAGACTATACTCTGTAAGAAATATATTTCTCTACCTTTTTTTATATGCTGTTTACTCAGAGTACCTACTTTTGTCTAGCCTTTAAATGTACGAATATGTAATCAGTCAGCTGACATCTGGTAGATTTTCAGATAGAAGCATTAGCATTTCTACTAACCTTATACTGAAGTCTGTGCCGCCTCCCTTTTAAGTGCATCTCCTTGGCATTAGGATCATTAAAACTGCATTCACAAAGTTTACAGTGAAAGCGGATCACCTTTCCTTCATCATTTCTTACCTGGAAAATAAAGTTGTAACACATTGGGATTTTTTTTTTTTTAAACCAAAGCTAATGTAAAAATTAATCTAATTCAGTGACACTGGATAATGTCTACCTGTCTCAAAACATGCTAAAAATTTCAGACACTAACTGAAAGAAGGCAAAATAGAACTTTCAATTCTGACAAACACACCATTGTGCTTGGTAATGAACAAAGTTCTTCCATTCCAAAGAGTACACAGCTTTAAACTTGAGCCCGAACATACTGAGTTGAATAATTACAAACGTGCAAATCATGAAAAATTTACATCAGACTTCATCCACGTATCTCATGCCACCCACATGAAGAATGCCCAACTGAGCATAAAAGAAACATGCACAATACAAAAATATAAACATATGCACAAGCCTTTGCAGGTTCAATGCCTTGTCATTCTTATCTTCAAGGAGGACCCAGGGAATTAGAGGTCAGTCAGCCTCACCTCGATCCCTGGGAAGGTGATGGAGCAGCTAATCCTGGAAACCATTTCCAGGCACATTAAGGGCAAGAAAATCATCAGGAGTAGTCAGCACGGCTTCACCAAGGGGAAGTCATGCTTGATCAACTTAATAAAGTTCTGGGATGAAATGAACGGCCTGGTAGATGAGGGGAGAGCCGTCAATATTGTCTACCTGGACTTCAGTAGGGCCTTTGACACAGTCTCACCATAATATCCTCATACACAAGCTGTTGATGTATGGGCTGGATAAGCCTAAAGTGAGGTGGATTGAAAACTGGCTGAATGGCCAGGCCCAGAAGGTGTTGATCAGTAGAATGAAGCCTAGTTGGAGGCTAATAACTAGCAGTGTACACCAGGGGTCAATACTGGGTCCAGTCCTGTTTAACTTCATTAATGATCTGGATGATGGGGCAGAGTGTACCCTCCACAAGTTTGCTGATGACACAAACTGGGAAGAGTGGCTGATATGCCAGAGGGTTGCGCTGCCATCCAGAGGGACCTCAACGGGCTGGAGAAATGGGCTGACAGGAATCTCATGAAGTTCGATAAGGGGAAGTGCAAAGTTCTGTGCCCAGCGCGGAACAACCCCATGCACCAGTATATGCTGGCGGCCACCCAGCTGGAAAGCAGCTTGGCAGAAAAGGACCCGGGGGTCCTGGCGGACACCAGGTTGAACGTGAGCCAGTAATGTGCCCTTGCAGCAAAGAAGGTGGCTGGCATCCTGGGCTGCATTAGCACAAGTAGTGCCAGCAGGTCGAGGGGGGTGATCCTTCCTCTCTAACTCAGCACTGCTGAGGCCACAGCTGGAGTCCTGTCCCCAGTTCTGGGCTCCCCAGTACAAGAGAGACATGGACATACTGGAGAGAGTCCAACAAAGAGCCACAAAGCTGATGAGGGGACTGAAGCATCTCTCCCACGAGGAAAGGCTGAGAGACCTGGGACTGCCTAGCCTAGAGAAGAGAAGGTTGAGGGGGGATCTTCTTAATGTGTATAAATACCCGAAGGAAGGGCGCAAAGAGGACAGAGGCAGGCTTTTTTCAGTGGTTCCCAGTGACAGGACCAGAGGCAATGGGCACAAAGCGAAACACAGGACGTTCCCTCTGAACATCAGGAAACACTTTTCTACTGTGAGGGTGACGGAACCCTGGCACAGGTTGCCCAGGGAAGTTGTGGAGTCTCCATCTTTGGAGATACTCAAAAGCTGTCTGGACACGATCCTGGGCAACTGGCTGTAGGTGGCCCTGCTTGAGTGGGATTGGACCCCCAGATGACCTCCACAGAACCTCAACTGTTCTGCGATTCTGTTTCATGTTGAACAAATTTTCACTAAAATATTTGAAAAATAGTACATATTTTCATATCAATACCTCCTCCACATAGTCATGGCCCACTGGCTGGACATCACTTTGCAAGGCAGCAAGAGTCGTGGGAGTCACTGGTTCAGCTGCTGTGTCTGGTTTTACTTCCTGTGTTTGTACTGTAGCAGTAGGAGTTGTTTTAACACTTTCAGCTGATTTCATTTCTTCCAGTTTACTTCCTGTTGTCTGAAGCTTATTGCCACCTACAAATCAAAAAAGTTAAATCGTTACCTTTCATAAAATGAGAATGTGATTACACATCATGTGCAAACATTGATATTATTTGCAAATATCAATGTTCTGGCCAAAGCATTATCAGTCTTTTAAAATTAGTTAAAACTTAAACATATTTTAAATACAATTAAAGATTTAAAAAAAAAAAGTCTAACAACATTCAAGTTATTGAAACACTTGTTTGGGGTTTTTTAGCAAGAAAAACTTTTTCTTTATATAATTGCAACTTTCTTTATTCATTTTCATGCTTTTTCAAAAGAGATAGGACTGAATGGGAACAACTCAGCAAATATATTTTAATAATCTTTTTTTTGTCATCAGATTTTTTTTTTTTTGTAAATGGATTCAAGAAAGTACTTCAAAACCTTATAATGTTTGTACTAACAAACGTAGTATACTCTCAGTGTTGCAACTACATATGTCTTTCCTTCAAGAGCAGGATAGCTAATTGTGGAACAGCTGCTTCCCATCTCTAAATGTCTGTCAAGCTCATTTCAAAAGTTTCCATTGTTACATTTGCATTGTTACAAGGATGTTTCAGTTGCCCAGTTATCAACTGCCAACCTACTGTAGGTTGCCTTAACAGCCCAGGCTGTAAACTGAAATTAGGACCAACTGGACTATAAACTGCAACACTCCAGTAGCTGCTACATAAGAAACCAAAGGTGGGAGGCTTCTTATGAAGGTGGGAGAAGCCTCCAAGAGAGGTCAGGTGGAGACAACTAGGCAGAAAACACCATAAATTTTGAAGCAAAACTTTTATTTACATTCTTATGTTCACCTATCAGTAATTCTCTTAAACACAACAGTTACTCATGCATAAAGTTAACTAAATGCATTTGTATTTGCTGCACTCAGTCTTAAAAAAAAATTATAGAATAGGTTAGGTTTCAAAATAAAGACTGACTTCTGTACTTGCCAACAAAGTTTATTTTCGGTGTAGATATTTTCTTTACAGCTATATTAGCAGCGGTTGAAGATGTTTTGTTGTTGGACGCAGTGTTAAGTGGTGTATTTGCCGTGGGAGTAAGAATTTTCACTGCAGAGGATGCAACAGAGGAGTTCACAGTACTGCTGCTAGTTGCTATATTTGAAGCAGAGGCAGTTGGTTTGGAAGCAGATGTGGATGTTGAGGAAGTAGCTTGGGTAACCACATTTGGTTCAGTTGAAGGAATGGGTTTGCCAAGTTTTGTGTGCAACTTTACTACCTATAAGAATAAAGAGAAATTCATAATATGATCTCCCTGGGATAACTAGAAAAAATTATGTGACACAAACATCATTGTAACTAAAAACTGAATAGAACTAAAAAATTAGCTATTGCTTCTTTACAAAAAGTGATCTTGGCCAAAAACAAAAAAAAGAAAAGATGGACATGTAAAAGCTCTTGTTATCTGTAAGAAATAAATAGTTAACAGTTATCTTACATTGCCTATTTCCATTAGAAATTCAGAAAGAAAAAATTATGTGACACAAACATCATTGTAACTAAAAACTGAATAGAACTAAAAAATTAGCTATTGCTTCTTTACAAAAAGTGATCTTGGCCAAAAACAAAAAAAAGAAAAGATGGACATGTAAAAGCTCTTGTTATCTGTAAGAAATAAATAGTTAACAGTTATCTTACATTGCCTATTTCCATTAGAAATTCAGAAATTTACCCAAAGGCTGGTTCAGTTGAAGGAATGGGTTTGCCAAGTTTTGTGTGCAACTTTACTACCTATAAGAATAAAGAGAAATTCATAATATGATCTCCCTGGGATAACTAGAAAAAATTATGTGACACAAACATCATTGTAACTAAAAACTGAATAGAACTAAAAAATTAGCTATTGCTTCTTTACAAAAAGTGATCTTGGCCAAAAACAAAAAAAAGAAAAGATGGACATGTAAAAGCTCTTGTTATCTGTAAGAAATAAATAGTTAACAGTTATCTTACATTGCCTATTTCCATTAGAAATTCAGACATTTACTCCAAAGGCTGTGTAGATGAGAACAGAAAGCCAATAAGTTCACAAGCCAGTATAACTCAAGGAAACATTTTGCTCAAACTGTTTCAATGTGACTGTTTTGTTGCCACATTGCTTTTTACTCTCCCTCCAAAAAGTGTAGTACATTGAACTATTTTGGTTCCTTCCAAACAATATTAGTAAATAAGTTATTTAATTCAGATTCAACAATACTATCTCTTCTGATCAATACACTTAAAGAGTATTCATATTGAAAGAATTTCCAGGTTACCTAGCAGAACTGAAGAGATTCCTTAGACAAAGGTTTTCTTTTTTTTTTTTTTTTAAAAAAAGCACATCTGCAGAGACAGTTAAGGAGGATGTGAGGCATATTTCAGAGCTCTTTATTATCTCATAGAAAGTAAAAAGGTACATGCTTATTCTTAGAAGTAATAATCAGAGGCCTTTCCACAACATGCTTGAGATAGAATAATACTTCTTTTTGGTGACAGCTGACCATCACCTGAAAAAGCAATGCATGTAGTCCGTAAGAACAAAACATGCAAAATCAAAACTAAAGACTGGGTTTGAAAGTAGCAGTAAAAAAATACAAATCTGCGAGACATGCCTTTAGTGCAAACACATGTATACAATCATGATAAGCACACAACTGTATACATACACTTAGGTTTTTGTTCTTATTTTTTCCAAGTATGTTCCCCATCAGAATACTGACATATTAGTGTCACATAATATTATAAATTTAAGTTCAAGCAGCTCTTCAAAAGTACTTTTTTCCAGTAGAATGCACAAGATTCTTCAGCGTACCACAGAAATAGAGTCCTTTGAGACTTCATTTTTACACTGATGACAACCTAAATCAGCAGTGGTTAGCGACTATGAGGAAGAGAAAGCTACATCCAAATATGTAAGGATAATATATACTATACTCCATATGCCTATGGAGTTATTGAACACAACCCAAAAATTTAATGGCTTATTAATGAAAGAAAGAACACTAGGCAAGTCTATCTAAATTATAATTGTTGCTGTTGTACTAACAAAAAATGATATTGGTAAAATTGTTTTAAATCTGCTATGAGATTTATTTATTTTAATAGGAACGATGTTACTGATGCCACTTTGTACAGTGTTCTGAGATGCAAAAAGCTATAAAAGCTGAATATTAATACTGTATTTGTTACTGACATTAATCTTTCCAGAGTTATGAAGAAAATCTGTAATACCTAAACAAACATTCTACACTGCCATTGCATTTACTATAGTATGGCCAAATTTAAAACACAGGTCACAGGTGTTCACAGTGCAGCCCACAGTCTTTATTCCAGAATGCCCACCTAACTGCAGCCAAACAGTAGGGAAAACATGCTTACCAAAAGTCTTCCAAACATACTCATTATAAAGTCTACTACAGGACATTGTTCCTTGCTCCCATATGCCAATTTTCTTTGCGAGAAATAACAAGGAGTGATGCATAATAGTCCTGTCCCTTGGCACTGACTCAGCTTACAGTGTTTCAAAGTGCATTGAAAGCTTCACAGCACCAGTCAAAAGATGAATGTCAAGAAAAGTCTTGAAAAGTTAGGGGGCACAAGCATGCTACTGCATGGCCTCACTGACTCTTTTCCCCATCTTACTCTACACCTTCTTCCTATGATTTACATACTTTCCCCAATACATCGTCTTCTCATTGATGCCATGACAATATTTTTCCCCCTTTCTCTCAACAAGGCCCTTCTAATAGTGTGCTTAAAGATAAGTTTGAAACAAAAAGCAGAACTAAATGTCTTTATATAAAATAATTCAAATTATATTGTTTCTGTGTATTTTCTCCTCTCTAAGATGAGAAAAAATGATGGGAAGAAGTATACGACTGACTTGTATTATAAGAACAAGAGAAAACTCTTACTTTCTGATGCTTGGCTCCACGGATATGGGCAGCATAAGCATCTGCCCCTGTACAGGACACATCACAAAGCTCACAGCGCAACTGATTCTGAGTTCCACGAGCAGAAGTGCTGTTGTTATTGGTGTTCTGGGAAGCTTTTAATGCTGCTTCTTTCTTTTTGTGTTTCTGGCCTTCTAAGTGTTCTTTATAAGTCTGTTTAAATAAACAATACACACACAATAAGCTGTCTTTGTACTCCTCGCTCATCATTCACGTGAATACATGTAATATAGAATATAGCATAAAACACATGCTTTGTATAAGAAATACTTCCTACTGAACATTTCTTCCATATGACATGCTCTAAGGCATTAGCAGGCCACTTCTAAGACCAAGAAATTTTCTTCACCACCACCAGGATTCCACTTTTAGGTAATACAATATGGGCTCTTCTCCTCTAACTTCTCACTTCCTCAACCAAGTACGGGTCAACAGATATTACCATTGAAAACTTTATATGATCAGAAAATGGCAGTTTCCTGCATTGCATTCAATTATTCTTGATTTTGAATTTTCCTCAAACTACAAGACCACAGTGATTAAGTGTATCCAGAAAACTAAAAAAAATCAATTCAAAAGAAGGTAGCGCATAAAGCTGTGCTGAAAATGAAATGCCGAAGTTGATATTTGTTCCTACATCAACACTAGCAATCTAGAGAGCAGACAGGGTGGGGAATAATGACAAGTTTACCTAAAGAGCAAGAACTGTTTAGCCAGACACACACATAAACACTCTGCATGAATTGGTATCTACTTTCTACACACTTGTACCCACTGTGAAACTAAACTAGGATGCTGGAATACAACGAAGAATAAATTTTCAGGCTTACCATTCACAAAATTTAAGTAATTCCATAATTTTGAAAAAAAGTACTTTCTAAGAAGTTTGCTATGCTAAAAAAGCAAACCAGATTCAAAGTTTAGAATATTTCTGAAGTCCAAAGCACAGCTGAAGCTTCTCTGTACAATCTAAGGGGACGTATCTTTTTGTCTTCTCATAGGAGCTCTTTCTATAATAGTGCACATTTTCATTTAATTATTCCTTTAGTAGAAGTATAGAATCAGATCTTTAAAAATTAACAAATATTCTTAAAAGGGTCAGTTTTTTAGCTGAAGAAATTATGACTAAAGCGTACAGCAGAATATTACATAATACAGGTACCTGTGGTCCAGCACAGCTGATCTTACACACATCACAGTAGTGGATCTGGGGCGGTTTGGGAGGTTGTTTTGGTTTCAGTTGCTTATTTTGGAATGGTGTCTTTTTAGTAAAGGTGGTCCCTGTCCAAGCAGCTGTTGCAGCAGCAGCAGCAGCTGCTGCCGCTGCCTGTTTCTGTTGCTGCTGCTGCTGCTGGTAATAGGACGATGCAGCCGAATACACTGCGGCTTCATAGCCGGAATAAGAGGTACCTCAAAGATCAAAATAAAATAAATGTTACATCACTGTACATCATATATCAATTACATAACACACTAATTCAAAACATGTTGCATAATAGAGTGGGGGGGGCAGGGCAGGATATAAAAGTTTTATTGAGATCTTGTTAGGTAGTCTGAATTTTTCTTGATGTTTCACAGTACACAAATACATAGCTACCAATTGTGTCAGGAATATATTTGATTTTAGACACATCTTTGCAGACACGCAGTTATGTTAGATATATCAAAGCATCCCTAAAGTATATGTAAAATTTCCTGGTACATCTGGTAAGACCGAGTATGATGTAACAAGAATTTTAATAAAAGATTTATCAAAGGCCAGTTGAAGTAAGCAGTCTTCCAGAACAGATTTACTGTTCAAGTTTCAAAATGGCAAGGAGGACAGACATTATGTAGATGAAGGGGCAAAAAAATGAGATAAAAGACAGAATGGCTAGTGCTATTACATTCTATTTCACTGATTTAAGTTGTTTTAGTGAAGAGAAGCTGCTTGCCTGCTAAAACCTGGCTATGCAGTCCTTGATTTCTAGTATCAAAGTTGAATAAATCAAGGAAACTTGGCTTTCATACCTTTGAGCCAATTTTCCCATAAACTTCCTACATCTACTGGTTCAACTATTTTAATTCTCTGATCAGGCTCTGTCTCAAGGAAGTCTTAAAATCCCTTTTTAAACAGAAAACAAAACAAAAAGTTCAAGGTAGTTATAATATGCCAGTTGATTACCGTCTGGCCATAAAGTTAACAGCTTTTCATCTTTAACTACTTTTTGGATTTCTAATGTTTGAAGGAAAGCCTTTTTTTCAGCACCCATTCTCCTCCCATTTTGGGTCAAGACAACCCAAACTTAAAAGATTTACACTGGACTGCTCCTCTCTGTCTCTGTAACTGCTGTTTGATAGCAGCATGCTCCCTTCCAATTTCCCTGGGTAATATTTGTGAGGATGTGTTTCCTCATTTTTTCTATCCCCCATCTTTCTCTCCAAACCTTACAGCAAGTCACAAAACACCGTGCACATAGCAATGCCAATGCTTTGCATATTCTCACATGTAACAAAATAGGCACATACAAACATCAAACTTCTTTTAAAGATACAGCAAAATATTTTGCCATCATAATGATTTAACTGGTTGATACTTCTCAGTAGACGATGATGTAATTGAACACAAACTGCTAAAATTCTGAGTATTTAAAGCCTCTCCTGTAACAACTGCAAAGATCCCAGCAACATAATATGCAAAATCCTTACCAGAGTAAGTAACCGCTGTTGTACTGTATGTTGCACTTTGAGTATAGGATGGAACAACAGTAGCTGCAGCTGCTACTGGCTGCACAGTAGAGGATACTGGATATATAGAAAACGTAGTTGTTGCTGGACTTGGGGTTGCAGGTTTTATAGCTGTCACTTGTCGTGTTTGCTGGGCTTGGGTATACTGAGTTGCCCCTTGACTATATCCCGCTTTCGGAGCTAATTAGGATAGAAAATAGAAGCGTACAAACATTGTCATGTTTTAGCTGAATGAAATGCAAACCATATTAAGTGATACTTAACGATATGCTGGGGAAAAACGCGTAACAAGTGGGTTTTGTTTTGTTTTTTTGTTTGATTGGTTTTGGTTTTTTGTGTTATGGTTGCTTTGTTTTTAAAGTCATGGTTATGCGTTGTGTGCCATGTACACAAAACTGTTTAATCATGTCACAGCTCACACTGGTAAGCCTCAGATTTATTTAACTGTGCTGCCACGTTTTTAAACAATCTTCTCATTCAATGATTTTACTAGAGTACACTAAACCAAAGTACACCTAAACTTTCTTATTATTTCTAATTAAAGTAAAAAAAAGTAAACAGGATTTATGCTTTGTAGCAATCACGATACCAATAATTAAAGAACTACATACATTAAGTAACTAAAGAATTAAAAAGGAGAGCCCTTCTAACCAAGTTATCAACTGAACCCACCACCGACTGTTTGAACCTACTTCAGCAAGTTTTCTAGACAAATAAACAAGAAGTTTGCCTAGAAGTATGTTTTGAGTGTATTCAATAACTAGAGATAGCTACTTATGGCAATGTCACAATAATGTTCAAGTTCTAGGTGCAGCAAATTCTTCTACACATTGACAGAGATTACATGACAAAACTAACAAAAAAAAAATCTGGATAACGTGAAATATTCAAAAAACTATTTTTAAGTTATTAAAGTAGTACACAGGCTATGTATAAAGACAGCAGTTTGAATCATGCCACGCACCTGTCTGGTAGTACGATTCAGCTACTGAAGGTTGAGGCTGGGCAGCAGCAGCCACAGCCGCTGCAGTCGCTGTTGGCTGTTGATAGTATTGTTTGCTGTCATAAGCTACAGCTGGGGCGGTAGATCGAACATAAGAATAGGAATCCTAAAAATTCGAAAAAGAAAACCCAGCAAATTTCTCCTTTAAGTATATATCTGAAGTAATAAAAGTCATTAGCAGAGTCAAAGAAACAATGTGTTTTCTTCTGGTCTACTAAAGTAGATTTAAAAAAACATTTACAGGTACAGTATATACAAACAAATGCATTAAAGAAATTAAATTTATGTTTACAGATACTTCAGCCCTGAAAACTACCCTTAATACAGGAATTAACCTCATGCTATTTCATCACTTTCCCTACCAAATTATTTTTATTACTAAAAAGCAACTACTCACTAGTTTTTCATGATTCTATCAGATTACATTTCTGTAAAATATGATGTGAAAAACCACCACAGATCTCCACAAAATGTGAATTTCTACAAACCACAATAAATTCACAAGTTCACAAACATGACCCCTATATTGGCTTTAAAAATCCCATCATTAACAGTACTTTCCTTGGTTATATTTTTTAGAGTATGACAGTAATACTTTTAAAGCCTTCTTTACTTTTTGGTGTATCAACTAGTCCATTAGGAACCATATCTAGTCTATAATGGCAAGGCAAGTAGCCCATTCAACACCTCTAGAACTCAGGAGATGGCTAGTAAGCTTAGAAGGCGAGGGCCTGGAAGCTACTATATGTAGGTACATATATTCTCTCATGCTCACCATATTTATGGTACAGCATAAAAAGTTGATCAACTGAGGGGTAGCAAGGCATGAACTACTATAGCTGAAATGTATTAATGTATAAAAATTCTTTTTATTTCCAAGAAATATAACAATAAAATCTCTTTTCCATCCAACCTGTGTAAACTGGAATTATTTTTATTTAGTTTAGGGGACTCTCTTTTCTGTCCAAATGCATCTAACAACTGACCTCGTAATTATGAGTACACGTGCTACTGGAAAGTCTCCTATGTTACAATTCATTACCATATGTAACAAATTATAAAAGCTGTACAAAAGAATTGAGAACATGCAGCAATAGTATAGTACTTTTAAACAGACCAAAATTCTAATTAGAATCTAGATAATGCCTTGATAAGTTTAGGACTAAAAAGTTAAAAAATTATTACAAGACATATACTGTTTCAACATCCAAGATGAAAACAGACAAACAGTTCCCTTTTGTAGAAGCCTGTGGTCACACGAGGTTAGGCAGTGACCTCACAAAGGATACCCAAAAACTACCCAGAGTAGTTCCTCTCCTAGGACAATGTTCTATCCTCATATGTTTGATACTAGAACTCCTGTGGCACCCAGGAACTTGACAAGGGAACTATTTCCACCTCCACTTAAAATTTTTATCAGAACAGTTTTTTCAGCTACATCAGTTCCATGACCCAGTTTACTGCATGCCACTCGAACATTTAAGCTAGCTGAGACAAGACAGTACTACTCTTTTCAGCAGTAGTTTCACAAAATCACTTGGAGGTAAACATCAGTTCATTGCTTATTGTGTGAATGTCTAAATCTTAGCTCCTGCAGTACTAGTGCTGATAATCCTCTATACAGGCCATATGAGACTGCAGTCACTTCACATTCTATCAGTTTTCCCAACTAAGTAATTTGAGTTGTACCCAAACTGTGATTCACAGAAGAAAAAAATATAAATATCATCACATTCTCTTATCCAAACAGGCCTCCTCCTTTTAACATATCATTTAAAAATCATACAACAGAAGTAATTTTTTTTGGAACCCACCTGATAATTCTGCGTAGTGACAGGAGGTGGTGGTGGTGGAGCTTCTTGTTGCCTCTGCGTATAACCATAATCTGTAGCTGTGTGCGCTGTAGGATAGCCTCCATATGCAGCAGCTGTTGCAGCAGCTGCAACAGCTACGGGAGCAGGCCTGGCTACTGCAACTGTAGCTGCTGCTGGAGCATAGGCTGCAGTAACTGTGTGCGCAGCGACTGGTGCCTGGTGGACAGTGTAGCTAGCAACTGTAGTTGGATGGGAATAGGCTACACCCGAAGCTGGCTGCTGGCTATATTGGAAAAAGACAGTAAGTAAATAATTAGATTAATCCAACGTACCAAGCTAATGCCTACACATTTCAAAATCACAGATTTGATTAATACTTGTCTGTTCTACAAACAGACCTGGAGCAGCCATCTATCTGTGCATACACTTTAATGGCTTTTATTACCTCTCTTCCACCTCCATTAAAAAGGCTCTATCATTTTTAAGTTTCTGTGGATGCACACATGTCATCCAGGTGATGACTTTCTTAGTAAGGGGGGCCTTTGTGTTGTTTTTTTCCAAGCAGTGGAACACAAGTCTTTCATTCAAAATAATACAGAAGTCATAAACTGTTATCTTTTCATGACGGACAAGTTTTTAAATGCTTTAGTAGTTCTTCAATAAAACTGACAAACCTGTCAAATTAAGAAAGATACCACTTTTCCATGAGAGCTCATTACTGACTTGCACTTGCATGAAGTTTTTCAGTAAACCATATCAATAATGAGATTATAAAGACTTCCGTGAAAATTAGCTCAGAACTCTTACATTTAAGGCAAAGGCACTTTAAATACACACCTCTGATAGGGGACTTCTCCCACAAAAGTTTAAATTTATAAAAGCTGGCCCCACTCGCTTGTACAGAAGTCCACTGCCTCACAACATGAAGCATCAGAAGAACACACAGTCAGATAGAGCACGAATACTGCTACCAGAGCTTTGGCAATCTTCCAGGCACATGCTGAGACTAATCTGCCTCTCTAAAATTTGCAGGTAGGACATTAATATGTGGCTATTTACTAAGAATGAGTAAATATTAACAGCGGAAATAAAAAATGATGGCTTCAAAGGTTTAATTATTTGAACAGAAACTAGTATTATTGTCCTATATTGATGTGTAACTGTGCATTCTGTTGTCCTATATTGATGTGTAACTGTGCATTACGATTAGAAGCTTAGAATAGTTATTTTGATTTTTAAACAAATAAAGTGAACAGGGCAAAATATCACTATCTGGAACAATGACATGAAGTGGGGATTGAGTAATTATTCTGAATTTTTTAGTACACTTCCTGCACTGTTGTTCAATAATACTTAAGAATATCTACGGGGTGTCACATCTCCATAGCACTATTAAAAGATAATTCAAAACCAACTCCATGCTTATCAAGGAGGTAGTGTCCCCTATTTTTCAGAAGAAAATAGAAAAATGAAATCTCACTTGAAGCAAACATACTCAGTGCAACAACGGAACTGCAGTATGGTTATGCTCAAAACCAAAAGGAACAAGTTACAGTATTTTTTCCTAAAGACTGCAATATTCTCTCTGACAACTACCAGAAACAAAAGCACCTTTTAACTATACATACTATTATTTTTGCAAAAGACATTTCCATAACTCCCTTGGGTTTAGTAATTTTTATTTAATCATTTTAATTACAGCAGAACCCATTAACTTCAACATATTAAAAAAAAATTCTTATAGCAGAAACAGAGAAAATTTTATTACTATTGGACTTCCATGCCTGGACTCCACCTTCTTCTCATCGTAGACCCCTGACTGCTTAAAAGACCACTTGCATTCCATCCAAATTTAATTCATTTGTGAGTTGTACTCACAATTATGTTTCATTTTATTTTCAATTTCTTAGCATAACAGTGGAAGGAAAAGACCTAAAACACTTTGGTGTAGCTCCCACCACTGCTTGAAACAATTCCTCCTACTTGACATACACAGGAAGATTCTCTGTTTTGTCAGTTTAAGGTGAGAAATAGGACTCCACCAGAAAATTCAGGAAGACTATTTTATGATGGTAAAAGTGACTGACAGTCTACAAAATCAGGCTGCATTATCTACATAACAGTACAGAACTGTAAAATATTCACAAATTCTGAGGTAATCATTATCATATATATCTACTAAAAACACATTAAATTGAGAAAACAGACAGCAGACTGTTTAACTCAGACTGCAGTTGAACACATCAGCAGTCCAATGCTGCCAAGAAGGAAAGTCTTGCTCCACCCTATCCTCACTCTTATTCTTCCCTCCTCCCACACACCCAACCCGGCTACGCCATCCTATTCCATCCCTGGTGCTAGTTCTGCTACTTGTCAAGCTATTCAGTGCACTGATTTAACTCATTAATGTGGCAGAAAATGATGAGAGTTTTTTTGCTGGGCTTGTTTTCTAACATGGTAGAAATGTTAGAAACATTGAAGCTTACAAAACAAGTCTGCTGAGTGCCAGAACCCACATAAGTTATACACAGGGCAACAAGGAAAAAAAATGGGAAGAGAAAGAAGAAGAGGGACTTGTGCAGGAAGCATTAACTTGGCTCTTCCAAGTTTCATGAAACCATGCTTAAGTTACTATTACAAAATATTATACAGTGCTCACAACATACTATGAAGTAACAGTGCCAGTTTATAAAAAAAAATGCTTTTGTTCTCAGAATATATATGATTAAAGCTACCTGACAGTTTTCAGCATTTAATATTGTGAAGAAATTATGATCATTATCAGCAGGACTATTAACAACATTCTGGTACAGACAGTTTCATTTCTTCCGTGCTATTTTTGTATCAAAATTCCTTATCATGGTATAGAATTAACAGCCCCAATCATTCAATTTCTAAGGCTAATACAGTTCTATGACCATGTTTACTTTAGCAAACCTGTTCCCCTTGCTTCTGCAACATCATGCAGAGCTAGTGATCGAGTTTGCAAGACTGCAAGAAAAATATTCTAGAATTGACTGCTTCTTCCTTTTTAAAAGTTATGTTACATTATGTTACAGAAATTCACGTGACATCTTTTCTAAATTTATGACATTCCTTTTTCTCCCCATGGTCTTACTGAAAACCTTTTAACGTTAAGATGACCACACATTTTCCTGTAATTAATTTACATAAAAAGATTTTTGTGCCAACTTCTTCATTTAACTTACAAGAGTTTTTACCCTTGTTTGGTGATTAGTGCCTCATCACATTTGCTGAGATGAACTTACCTCCTCCTAGATTATTTTGCCAGACTCCCTATTCCACTGTCTTTCTTGTAGTTCATCTGTGCACCTATCCTAGTATTATCTATTCTTCTTTCTTGACTACAGATGGCAAGAACTGTATGCATCATTTCAGATGAAGTTTCAGCTGTGCTACCCGCTCTGCTCCAGACAGTGCTTTCTTTCCAAAGTCTAGCTTCCTCAGAGTAGCTTCTTGTAAAGTTACCTGTGTATTGACAATATTTTCCTTGCATCAAATATCATGACATACCATACTAATATAAATACTAAGTAAGACTCAGAACCAATCCCTAGGGAACTCCACTGCAATTATTCCTATTTGACAATCTCTCTTCTAATTCTACTAACCACCTCTACCAGCTCCTTCTCTACAACTCATCGCTACCTTAAGTAATGATTTTCCATACTGCACCACATCAAGTATTTCAACTTAGTCCCAGTAAATAAGACTCCATAAGATTTAGGCACGTCATCAAGTTATTAGAGCAACAATGAAATACAGTATGTCAGCTGAGCTATGGTAACAAACCACATGCGTGTTCTTCACCACAACAAAGTAAGTAATTCAGTTTAGCTTAATCCCCCAACACAGTGGAAAAAGTTGAACCAAATTACTCTGTATGTTCTATGGGCTAAAGACTAACAGGTACTGCAGCACAGCAGACAGAGAAGCTAACTCATCGACCTGGTAACTTAGGCAGTTTTCTTTGTAGATCAATTCTTCTCTTCCCCAAAATAAAGTCTAATGTCCTTATTAGCATCTTTCAGTTCAAGGAATTCCAGTTCTCCCCATATGAAAAGATACTCAGTCCAATTGGCTTTATTAACTAGGTGGAGCTTAAAAATCACAGAATAATTTAGGCTGAAATAAAGATTTGGAGGTCATCTGTTCTAACCCAGTGCTCAAAGCATGGCTAATTTCGAAGTCACATTAGGTTTCTCAGGGCTTCCTCCAGTCAGGTTCCGAACTTCTCCAAGCATGGAGATAGCAAGACTGCTCTAGACAACCTGTGCCAGTGTTTGAGCATCCCCACTGTCAAGAATTTTTTCCTTATAAAAGCTTCAGTTTCAAAAGAAAATGAGCTCTAGACCAACATTTACATAAGACAATCCCAGTTTGTGACCATTCAATTCAATGTAACTTCACATTACAATTCTTAGTGTTTTAATTTACTATCAAAATAAATGTCATTTCTTGATTTAAGAAGCTACGGGTGAAGGACCTGGCAGCTTCAAATCGTACTCTGCTGTATCGTTATTATATTAACTCTTCCGCCAGAAATTTTCATTAATAAAGATTATATTTTATTCATACCACACCCATTTCTTTAGCTGATCATAATAATAATAGTGCTTCCCCACCAAGCTGACTGTAATTTCTGTTTTCTAGGAACAACACACATTCTTCAATGCTCATCTTCCAGCTCAGATTTCTATTTCACTGCGTTTTCACTATCCCAGCCAGAGCCAGTTTACAATCTACATGTTGCACTCAATTGTTCTGCTCCAGGTTCTGCAGATGTATGTTTCAGTCAACTACAGGTCATTTCCAGCACCTTACCCAATGTGTTTTGTCTCTCCCTACCTGCTTTAAACTGCTACATGCATATCGCTATTTCCCCATGCTCTTTGCTTCCTCCTCCCAAATAAGGTTGCTTCTATTCAAAAGTTTTACACTCCAGTGTATACCTAGCTTGCCCTCATCTTCCACACCCCAGCTAAGTAACCTCAAGATTGAGAGAATTAACTCTTTATTCACAATTACTATATTACAGTGCATGAGAGAAGTATTTTCTATAAAACACCTTTGACTCAAATCTTCGAATAACACCTATTCTAATTTCTGCTGACACTTATGATGGGAAATACTAATCTTTCTGATACATTAGTATCAGAACAAGTGCCACGTATTATGAAATACCACTGTGATATTAAACCTCCTAGATAAGACTGACTGCAGTGAGCTGTGACTGTGTATCTTTCTCCACACTAATCTCCAATTCCGT